TTATTTGTTGTGCCTGAGTTATACTTAAACATACATAAAACTGAGGAAATATTGCAATTTTGGGACAGAAAATTCTCGACGTGCGTGACACGTCATTCCAGCGCAAGAGATTAAAAACAACTAACGAAAGTAAAATCTTCGGAATCGTCGAGAACCGAGAACTCGCAGGAAACCTCCTAGTAAAATCTCGCTATGAAAAGAAATCGCAGCGATTCTTCGTGAAAATCGATCAGCCAGACGTCGTTTTTAGTCGTTTTCACGCGTCGAAAGGCTCGGCTCTTGTGCGGGATAATAGCGCACAATGGCATCGCGTGTAACGTTGATCGCGTCGGTGATGCAACAACAACCGGCGTCTAACGGCGATCGTTTCGACGTATGGTTAAAGGAACCTTTAACGACGATTGCGAGACGCGGCGGCTGGAAAGCGAAGTAATCGGACTTGGATCCTCTCGCGCGGATCCACGCTTCGGCGAAACGAAGCGAGGCCGCGATTTGTCGCCCCGGAAGAAATAGAACTTCCGTGGATCGTTCGCAGCGAGAGAGATTTATCGGCTAATCCGGCCTGCTTCGTGCCTCGCGACTCGTGGAGAAACTTGGGATCTGCGCGACGTGCAAAAATATTTATTACGTTAAAGAGAAACGAGATCTACTCGTTGCAAATCTTTCTCCTCGGATACACGAACGATTACGTCTACGTACGAGGTGACGATCAAAGAAGGACGCAAATGAATTTCTATTAGGTTGCGTTTGTCGTGTGTGCGAACGAAAGGCCAATTTTTTTTCCCCTGAAAAACGAAAACGTTCATTGGACAATACGCTGACAATTATTTTCGTTACTTAGAGTCGCGTATGGGTTATTAGCGACTTGAAACTGGATCTTATATTTTGTTATTTAGACTAGAAGGTGTGTTAATTTTGAGAACATGTTCCTTTTTCTTCATAACTGTGAATACTACGGAAGTGCAAATTTATTTGGACGTTTACGTTTCAAATGGGAAAAACGTAAAGTGTGGAATTCCGAGGATAGTACGAGAAAATCAGGACACTTGTCAGCAGCGAAAATCCACGTTGTTTCAGATCGTCGTTCATTTCATCAGAAATAAAGTATTAGAAAATTTGTGTGTGATTTTAGTAAATACAAATCTTATTCACATACATGTGTATATTTTTTGATCATTAAAATATGTTATAGATACATAAAAAGAGCAAATAATTTGACGTTTCCTCACTCTTTTCCCCACCAGAAGGGAACGAAATTTTCTACATACTAACATTTCATGAAATATTGATTCATACCTCGAAGCTTTATGAAATATTGATTAAAAGCTTTCCAAGTGATAATGCCAATTTTTTCGGATTAAAAAAAGTTTCATCCGACTTTGCATAAACGCTGAGAATGCTCAAGGGGATGAAATTTAGGTAGCTCACCCTAATCAGATTCGCGTACCGTAATTCTCTATCCCCTAGATCTATTTGAAATCGAGACTACTGCTCCGACGTGATTATCTCATCTCGAGACAGAGCCATCTTCCATCCAAGTGACTTTGATCTTACCGATCTACGAACCACCGTGCACGTAGAAAGTCCAAGTGTCGCGACTGAATCTTCAGAAACGGCGCTGCCACGCTACTTCGTGGAAAATCGCGCGATCTCTGGCAGAAGAAAAGAGGAAGAAAAAGAGAAAAAAAAAAGAGAAAAGGGAGAAACGAAGAGGAGACACCGGTTGACCGGATGATAGGCGTCGCGCTAACCAGCTGACGTTTCGAGGGAATCGTAACATCCTGCGTGAGACGGAGAGAGAAAGAGAGAAGAAACGACGAAGACGACAACGACGACGACGAAGGAGAGGAGAGGAAAGAAAGAGAAAGTCTGAAGGCGAGGAACGGCAGATGTAAACGAGAAGCTTTTACCTTTAATGGATTCGCCCCGGAGCGAGCCATCGAGATCTTCGGGGTTGAAAATACTTGGCAGTAACGAAGTTTCGTAACGAGCAGCGGCGCTTGCCCCGCGCGCGCGCTCGCGCTCGCGCTACCTACTCCAATGCGCCAATTTAAATTCGAATTGCACTCGTCCGATCGAAGTCCGTATTAAAAGTTGTTTTCGACAGCGTGCCGGCATGAATCTTCCTCCGGCTCTCGATCCTTGCCAAGCCACGCTAAAAATGTAAACCCCTGCCTCCATTTATGGCCGCTGTGTACGTGGCGCGCGCGCGCGCGCGCGCGTCTTTCGGTGGCCAAATCTGATTTGAACTCCAGATTTTCATTCATTTTCTTCTCTTTTCTTTCTTTTCTTCTTCACTTCGTCAGAGACAAGTTTCGAAGGTTTACTCGCGCCTTTTATCGCGTGAGCGAACGACAGATGATACCAAGGGTTAGTTGAAAAAACAGCGCTTGCGATATTATTTCGGCTTTTCTGTGCTTTTAGTGCTTTCATTTTAATAAAATTACACGCGTGCTGCAGCGACAATTTTCGCAACGAAGCCAGTGTTGAGAAACAACTGACGATACATTTCTCGGTAAAAGTCAGGGGAACGATTGTTTTATGTCTGCCGAATTGAGTAAGATTGACCTCTTGCGCTAGTAACTGATTGCGGACCATAAAGAATGACCAAACCGTAGTACAGTAATACGTCTTCTGTTTTTAATTCGTCGGTATGCTACTGGATAGAAATTACTAACAAGTAATAACATTATTATTTGTTTTGCCTGGGTTATATTCCAATATACTTGAAATTAGTGTATTGAAATTATTTTCTCAGTATTGGGAAATATATTTCACCTTGATACGAATAGTAATATTTAGAAACGTTCAGAATCACGAACAGAATCTCTTTTCCCTGAAAATCACATTTTTGAAAACAATTCTATTAAACGCCTTGGCCACTCGCGCTGAGCAACTGACTGCGGACCATAACGAGTGACCAAACCGTACACAATAATTCGTCGCTTTATTTTTGAACTCGTCGTTACAACATCACTGGGTAGAAATTATTAAGAGGTAATAAATTTATTATTTGTTTTGCCTGGGTCATATTCCAATATACTTGAAATTAGAATATTGAAATTATTTTCTCAGTATTGGGAATATATTTCACCTTGATACGAATAGTAATATTTAGAAACGTTCAGAATCTCGAACAGAATCTCTTTTCCCTGAAAATCACATTTTTGAAAACAATTTTATTAAAAATATAACGCCTTAACCACCGCGCTGGGCAACTGACTGCGGACCATAACGAGTGACCGAACCGTTAATTCGTCTTCGTTTTTTAATTCATCGGTACATTATTGGATAGAAATTACTAACAAGTAATAAATTTATTATTTGTTTTACCTGGGTTATATTAAGTATATATCAATATACTTGAAAACTGAGAGAATATTGCAATTTTGGGCCAAATATTTTCGACACGTCGAGAATGTGCACGTCGTTTCAGCGCAACATTGCAAGGTTAATATTGCAGTAACCGTTACAACTGACTACCCTTTTAAATACTCTTAAACTCCACAAATTTGAAGTACAGAAGAAAATTACATCATTACGGAAGATCAGCCATAGTTGGTTCACACTTCCGTGCTAACGAATAAATTCGTGAAAATCAACAATTCCGTGCAATCAACCACGGGATACCGAGGCCCGTGCAGTCCAAATCCGTCCCGTTGTCTAATACATGTACAACGCGTTTGACGGTGCTTAAGGAAAGCAATGGCGCACGCGATTAAACGCGCTGCACAAGGAAGCATAATAATTGCGTACGGTACGGAGCGACGTTAATGGAACGTCTTGCCAGCGGCTGTGCAGCGCGATCCAAGGGACACACCGTGTAATAAACGCGCGCACCGTTTCTCCTTTCCCTGCACCTTGCTCTCCTCGTCCATCTTCTCCCTCTTCGTCTTTCACACGCGTGTGCACACGCGAACGCGACACGCGGAGTACGGTTAAAAGGCGCGGAGACGAGAAATCGCCAGCGACTGGATTCCACCGGGGCCCGGCCAACAGGCCACGAAACTTGGCCGAGACTCAAAAGAATCGTCTCCTCCTCGTCCTTCGTCTCCTCTCCTTCTCCTTCTTCTCTGCGTTCCTTTTCTCCCGCGATCGCACACGCTCCCTCCCTCGCCGTTGCTTCGCGTCGTTCCCCCATCTCCCTCGGGGTCTCTCTTTCGTTTCGCGCACGGCTCTCGAAGGATCTTCCTTCCGTGGAACCCAGCCGCGCACCACCAACGAGAAGAGACCATCTTTTTTTTTCCCTTTCCTTTTCTCCCCACTTCGATTTTTCGTTTTTCATCCGATCGTCGCCCTCCCCTTCTTCCGTTCGTCGCGTTTTCTTCGCAGCCGCCGCGCCGTGACTCGACTCACGACTTTTGCATTCTGCACCGCCGAATTGCTGCTCCTCTCTCTCTCTCTCTCTCTCTCTCTCTCTCTCTCTCTCTCTCTCTCTCTCTTTGCACGCCTTCTCTCTCTTCAGAGAGGCAACCACGGAGTGGCCGGACGCGATGGATTCGTGCTAAAACTGGCCAGAGATATCCTCTCGCCGAGATAGTCGAGTCTGAAGGAGTTTTCTCGGAGAGCTTCGCACGACCAAGCGATCAAAAAAACTGTTTCGCCGGGAAGAATATCTTCGGAGAATTGAATGCTAGAATTGTTACGCCCGGAACGCAGTTAATTATCTTACAATAGACCGCGGTACGCTCGTACGACGATTAGCAAGTTACAAGTTACGCCTAGACTGCGGATTCTTATGCACTTGTCAGAAATATACAGGTAAAAAAAATTGCACAGAACGCGCAGAATACGGGAAACATTCGCAAAGTACGTTAAACATTCAAACTATGGTGATTTTTGTAACATCTCGAATTTCCTCTGCAATGTTCAAACGAAAATTTCCCAGTGATTGTTTCGTTGAAGTAGGTAACTTTGAATACAGGGTGTAAGCGTTGAAAAGTATTTCTTTAGATTCTTTTAGGTATTTATTTCATTTAGGTATTAATTAATTTTTTTAGATTATATAAATATCAATTTGCAAACGCCTCAGAGATGCGTCAACTGTTTGATTTTAGGTTAGCAACGACAGTTGTGTGTTAACTTCTCGCGCTGGCAACTGGTTGGCGCGGACCGTAACGAGCGACCGAGCCGTGTACAATAATTCGTCGCTTTCTTTTTCTTTCGAATTCGTCGATGTCGACATCACTGGATAGAAATTATTAAGAAGTAACAAACTTGTCATTTATTTTGCCTCGATGACATTTAAAACTGAGAAAACGTTGCGATTTTGGGACAAAGAATTCTCGACGTGCGTGGCAAAAGAAGTTAATGGATTAATTAACATTCCCAGAACCGTGATTTTACGTAAAGATCCAGTTACAAAGAACAAACTGAACAATCAGGAGAATCGGCTAGTAATTAGCAAAACGCGCTATCGCTCGTCGATCTTACTCTGTTGGTATAGACGAGAGAATTCATCCACTTGTGACTTTCAGAATTTCACTCGCGGAAACTTTTGACGCGACGAAGAAACGAAGAAACGTGCATTCCGTGTCTCGGCAAGCGGTTAACCAAAAAGAAAAGGAGATCGTAGGCTGGTGTGAAAAGTGAAAGAAAAAATGATGGGAAAATAGCGAGCTGCAGGCTAGCTGGATGGTTAAACGCGCGAAACTTGTCCTGGGATAGAGGAGGTTTAATTTACCACGCCAGTTAGCTGGTAATTCCACGCGGTAAAAAGTTGAAAATCCAAAATTTCAGCCGAGTGTTTGAAAATACGGGGGCGAGTGTATTCGTATCGCGAGAGAAGGAGCGCGTATGTCAAATCTCGCAAGTGTGTAGATCTCAAACGCGACACCGCGAGTCTGGATCCAAATATGATCCAGTAAATCTCTCGCGGATCTTTCAATTTCACCGAGTACGTTCGCGCGATGTACTCGGTTTTGTAACAAGTTACTTTCGAACGTGCTCAGAGGCAGTTCGATGTTCGAAAGATTCGGAACATTCGCAAGTAGTATTCGAATCTCGAAGATCAGAACGAAGTTTCTGGAATAGGGAAGGGTGCTCTTTTTAAACGTGCATCGTCCAGTCAAAAATTTCTACCGCGCATCATCGTTTCTACTTAATACTCCAGAACAATTAAAACGAGACGAATATCATTAATAATGATAAACTTTAAGTAACATAAATAATATATTACAAATACAATACACTTGAAATGAAATTTGGTCGCACTTTATCGTAATATAACATCTTATAGAAATTGATATAAATTAATTTAACAAAATATATATACATATTAAATATATATTAATATAATTAATATAAAATATGTATTAATATATATTAAATATTTTAAAATAAATTAATATAAAATATATGTTAATATATATTAAATATTTTAATATAAATTATATAAAAAGTTTCATGTGACAGTCAATTACGTGTTAACCTCTAGCGCTGAGATTTTTGGTTCCAAAATTGTAATATTTTCTCAGCTTTAAGTATACTTAAGTAAAGACACAATAGGCAAAACAAATAATAAATCTATTACTTCTCAATAATCTCTATCCAGTGATATCATACCGACAAGTTCAAAAAGAAAGCGACGAATTGTTGTATACGGTTCGGTCACTCGTTACGGTCCGTAATATCAGTTGCCCAGCGCAAGTGGTAATCAGCGTTGTCTCTAGATTGTAGTTGATAATTATTCCGCTTAATTCCTAATGTTGGTTTAGACGATCCTAGAGTAAAAAATCTGTCAAGAAGTCAAAAAACTGTCGAGTGTCAATAATTGTTGTATACGGTTCGGTCACTCGTTATGGTCCGCAATCCAGTTGCCCAGCGCAAGTGGCTAAGAATCTTTGGAGCTACATCGACTAAAATTTGAGTGAAATAAACGAAGTTCGTACAAACGTAGTTTGAACGCTCACGAAAGGGTTTCGAGTCGATTAGAAACTCTGCTCGCGAGATACTCGATCCTATTCTCTAATCAGGGTAGGAAAAATCGGCGAGTCGAAGCGGAGGGGGGAGGAGAAGGTTTCGTATTCGCGCGAAACGAACGAAATAAAAACCGATTTATCGGGAGCAGGCGTGCAATTAAAAAGCACTCGTAACTCGTTCGGGCTGCTGCGTTACTGTAATTTTCGCTTATCGATGGGGCCGCCAACCCGTTTGAAAATAAACGAGAAAGAATCGCCGCGCAACGGCTATGTAAACAATCGCATGATTCCCGAACGAAATTATCGCGGCGGTACACGTTCGCGCATTCGAATCGATGTTTCATCGGTTTCCATCGGGTTTGATAGCACGGAAATTTAACGCTAGAACTGCCAAACTGTAGCGCCGAAAATCACGGGGGAAAAAAAAAGGTTTTCCGTTTTCCCTCTCGTCTCTCTTTTTTTTTTTTTTTCAATTATTGCATTAAGTGCGCGTAACTTTCGGCGAAATTAACGCCGATTTTCATCGCGAGCCGAAGTGTTGCACGATCTGAACATTGAAATTAAGAGAATTTTAATTCTCTGTGAAACTGTAAGCTAGAATCTTTAAACAATCTATCACCTTTCTGAAGTTGTTACACTCGTTGTTAGAAACAGCACGTTTATCAATGAAAAAAAGAAACGGTTCGTCGTACGTTGAACAATTCCCAAGTTATCTTCGAACGATTAACATTCGGTTAATCAACAATATCATCGAACATATCATTGCAAACTTAACTTTCGTCCAGTAACGATCGCCGATCGAACCATCGAACACCATGAGACTTTGACTTGGTCTAATTTTACTCTCAACCTGCCTCTGTCACGAGTGTAATAAAACGACATAAAACAAAAACTGAAAAATGTGAGTCTCCTCCGAGGCTTCGTAGCGCAACGCAAACGATCGAATCTATCGATCGTCCGTGCCGCGGAAAACACGGGTTCGAGGGTTTAATAGCGCTTTAACAACGAGTCACCGGACTTTTCGTTCCTCGGTACGCCGATCAAATTGCCGACAAAACGAGCATAATTCGCGCCGCGCGCTCGTTTATAATGGACGCGTCAACGTGTGTGCGAGCCGCTCCGGGGCACCGTTTTCGCGCTGAGAAACTATAAAAAAAGAAAAAAAAAAAAAAGCTGCATGCATGCAGCCGACTCGGATCCAGAGGTTTTCCTCCCTGATCGCGTCGTAGCCTAGCCAGCCGCCAGGCTACCAAGGCGGAAAATTATCCCTCCGAACTTCCCGGCCGTTGTTTTTTTCCCTCCCTCTTCTCTCCGCCGGCATCTAATTTTCTCTCCCGCCCCCGTAACGCCGCCACCCTCTCACCTAAGTCGTTCTCCACCCCCCGCCGTTCCTCTCTGATCCGAGCAAGCAACCATAGCTTCGTGACCACATAACGCGCGCGTACGTGATCGCGGTGTTTAAAAAACTTACTGATATTTCGGATATTCCAGGCGAGAGAGCCGGGGTAATACGATAATAACGACGACAATCAGCCACGATTTTCAAGCTAACGCTCAAGCGGCTAACTAACGTTCTGGCTTTTTTCTTTTTTTTTGTTTCTTTTTTTTTCTTGGCCTATTACGTGTAATTCCGACCAATCTATCGATCGTTTGACGATTAAAGAGCGAGTAAAATTGATTAAAAGGAAATGGAATCGTTTCGAGTTATTGGACAATTAATCGTAACATGCTACGTGGACGAATGCTTTTTGGCATTACTTACGCACCACTATTTTTCTCCCCTCCATGATATACTTGGCGTAACGCTTCGAAAGTATAAATAAGGTGTATAAAAGTGTTCCTCGGAGACATTTCAACGTAAAAATAGATCGATATCAATACCTATCAAGTTGATAAGCGACTACACAACCAACGAACCATCTTCTTGACACTAGAGTTATCAAAGTGCCCAACATGACTAATTTATAATTTATAATTTTCCATAGAAATCTTATGTATTTATAACAGTCTATTTTTAGAGACTTGAACAACTCTTAACATGTAAAAACATACAAATAGAAGCTTGTGTTCTTCATCGTATCATAAACTTTTATTTCTTTGCAAATTTTATTATTCTCTACAATTTTAATATAATTATTTTATTATATTTTTTATTTCCCTACAATTTTAATATAATTATTTTATTATATTTTTTATTTCCCTACAATTTTAATATAATTATTCATTATATTTTTTATTTCTCTACAATTTTAATATAATTATTTTATTATATTTTTTATTTCTCTACAAATTTTATACATTAGTCGACAATCCTCTATGCCTAATTCCCAAGAGAAAGACTCGAGTCTCGCGAGACACGGCCAATCACACAAGTGTACATATATCATCGTCATCCCCATACTCACAAAAAACGCCGAGTATTCTAGATTTCGGCAGACTCTACTTTTCCGTTTCTCATTTCTCGTTACTCACTCGTGTCAGTATTTTCTCCCCCCGATATTCCAAGCATAGAAGGTTCAAACAAGTTTCCAGAGACGTTTAAACGTTAAAACGGATCGATATCAATACCTATCAAGCTGATGAACGACCACACACATACACACACACACACACACACACACACTCCTTTAATCCTCTTTGCCAAATTCCCAAGGAAGAGACTCGAGTCTCGACCGTTCGCGCAAGTGTATCATCGTCGGTATCATATCCCCGTGCTCGCGGGAAACGCCGAAAACGCCAGGTTCTGTGGGATTTCGTTGCGCGAGCGCCGGTTAGCAATCAGGGACGCGGTTATTCGCGGATCGAGATGTTCCTCAACCGAAAACGAGGGTCCGCAACAAGAAGGATGGAAAATTATCCCTCGAAAGCTCTGGCAGCGAACCCTTTCCCCCTCCCCCTCCTTCCTAATATTTCTCCCTTTCTTCGGCGACGGACCGTTCGAAACCCACCCGGCCCTTCAGCTGCTTCGTTCACGTTTTCGTATCCCGAGCTTTCGTGCAAAGCGCCGACGAACGTGAGAGCACACACGAGCCACAGCCAGTCTTCTCTCCCTGCTTCTCCTGTCGTCGTCGTCGTCGTCGTCGTCGTCGTCGTCCGGTCGTCGGTTCGTGTGTTCCACGGTTTCTCTCGCGTGTGTGTACGTGGAGCAAGGCGCTCGATATTTCAGACGGTCGCCCACGAGAAACGCAGTTCCTGGGGGCGTGTTCCACAGCGGCATGGTCGCCGGTCGGTCGGTCGGTCGGTCGGTCGGTCGGTCGGTCGGTCGGTCGGCCGGCCGGCCGGCGTTACCTCGCTTCGTTTACACCGAGAACGTGGAGAAACGTGGAGGAGCTGGCATAATTTCCGGCGGAGACGGTGGCGTGCGCAGCTAACGCCGTTTCATGCGTCCCCGCAACGATTCCTCCTCTCACTGTGTACCGCGCTGCTTCTCTCTCTCTCTCTGTCCCTCTTCTTTGCCTCTCTCTCTCTCTCTGTCCCTCTTCTTTGCCTCTCTCTCTCTCTCTCTCTCTCTCTCTCTCTCTCTCTGTACAGGCTGTTTCAGACGATTCGTGCCGAAATTTAGATAGTTTCGATCTAGACGCGAGTAATGTGATTGCTGTAATCTTCGAGGCAATTGTGGGACATATGTTTTGTTGTTGTAATCGTAAGTTTTAGACCGATGTTCACGAGGAACAATTAAAGATGCTTTGAAAGTGCGTGGGGAGCACGAGGAACGTCAGCCTCTCGCGATCTGTGCGTCGGAGATTCCTGATTGAATCGAACGCTTCTCTACTCTCTCTATGGCAGTAGATACAAATGTTTGACGAATGTCTGACGTCTACGGGGAAAGTTTCACCCATAATTGAACGGCTTAATGTGCACAAGAATATAGTATCGTATATATAGTATAAATAAGTATATTTTAATACTTTTTAATAAATTTTATACTTTTTATAGTATATTTTAATATTTTTTAATAAGTATGTTTTATACTTTTTATAGTATAAATAAGTATATTTTAACTTATATACTACAACATAGTAAGTATATTATATAAATATATATCATTTATCATTACAGTAGACATAATTTTAGAATATAAATCTACTAAAAATTGTAAAATCGTCTGCTCAAGTATTAAACATTTTCGCTCGGCCCTGTCTCTGCGAAAGGACGTCGTACTTTGAAACTGCCTTAAATCAAACCAATAACTCGGACTTCCTCTATGATAAACATATTTTTGATGTTGTACGATATAACAGAATAATACGAACAAACACTCATAATCAGAATGAAAGCTATAACGACGGCGTAAGCAGAGTGGAAGTAATTATTCACGAGAGTAGAGGAATTCGTTCAGTCAATTGAATAATTCGCGTAATTCGGAGTAGTTCGCCTAAATTATTACGAAATGGAATAAAATAGAGATTAGAAGTACGTATCATTGACTATGTGCCACTTATTCTAGTAAATCCGCGATGCACCCGTGATTGTTAACGATTGCTATCCTATAGAAAAACGTAATCAAGAATGATCATTTCCAATGCTATGTTAATTTTATTTGAAATGACACTTTTACTCGATATTTTGTAAATATATTACATCTCTGATATATAGATGGTACAAAAAAATGAGCAATTAGGTTAAGGAATAATAAAAATGTTATCTATCCAATTGATCGTTGACAATCTTTGGACGGTCGACAATCTGTCGACAAATTTTTCCCTCCAAGTTACCGTTTTTCAATTTTCTTTTCCTTTTCTCTTTCTTATTTTTTACAATTCTGCAGCCAACTTTCTGAAACTGCCTGTACACCCCTGCTCTTTGTCTGTCTTTCTCTCTTTCTCTCTCTCTCTCTCTCTTTCTCACTCTGTTTCGTCTTTTGCGGACGAGCCTTCCATCTCTCGCCGCGGGTCTAACGTGGTTGCTTGCTTTTAAGGTGGCCTCGCGTAGTATTCGCGGCTCGCTGCTCCTTCCCAATTAACCCTTTGGTGACACCGAGGCGCTCAGATTAACTCCGCTGGCACAGCCGGCTGTCCCTGTGTTCGTTTTCGTTGTTTCGTCGCGTGTGTACGCGTACCACCGTCGCCAATTCCTACGTCTCGTAGTACCCCCGGTTTTCCATTGGCTCGCTGAATTGTCGTTCGATGCGACGCTGAAATCTCCGACGTGTTTTACACGATGCACGAAGAAAATTAGTCGACTAGGCCCGACTCGCCTTACCGTAGGACAACAGTAAGAATTTTCACGCGGTACGGTAAATCGTTTAGAAGAGAGATCGAACGAGAGGAGTCGTTTAAATAATTGAAATTGATTTAACGAAAATCAATCGGTGTTTGCCCCCTTTTGTGTGTCAGTTGTGATAAAAAATTTGCTAGATTAATCGACTCACGAGTGAATGAGATCTGCGTCAAACAAAATGTATAAATATACTTTGAATCGCCGCTATAAAATAGAATAATAAAAAAAGAAAAATAATAACGTGCGCGTAAACGAGGTGGTACAACCGAGGAAACAGTTACAAGTATTGACTCTTGCTTTCGATAGATCGCCAAGTGAGTTTCGAGGGAAGAAATTCTTTTAATAACCCACGACGAACTGTCTCTCGAGGCACAATCCTTTCACTGTGTCCTTTCGCTTGACATATTCCTCCAGTTAATTCAATTCCCGACGAGTATGCAAACCATGCTAATTCATGCAAATGCAACAGTATTTTTTAACGTTATGCAAATTCGATCTCTTACGTTATGTCATCGGGAAGACACGATGAATAAGCACTGAAAGAAAAGAACAATATATATATGTATCCATCTCTCTTTCTCTAGAGAGGAAAACGATCGTATTTTAGATGTTTCACATGTTTTCGCGTAACACCGTGCAACGAAGTGCAACTGAACCAACAACGATGAAAAATTGATAGTTTAAACTGTTATAGCTTTGTAAAAGAAAATCTACTACCAGAACTTGTTTCAAAGCATAGACTTTCTACTTCGACAGTGGGTGAATTTAGTTTCTTCAAAGATAATTTTCAATCACGCAACGAATGGAAAAGCGAGAGTATCTTTTTTTTCGAGAATCGTAAGAATTGAAACATCTTTGGAAACATTGAAGAAATTTCTTTGCGACTAGGTCCACCATCATTTCGATGATTAAATTTCCTTAAAACTTGTTGCACGATTTCTTTCCACCATTTTATCGAACGTCGAATAGATTAGAATTAAGCGTCGAGAATTCAAGAAATTAAACTTTGTCGTCTGATCCTAACGAATTCGAAATTCGATGAAATGGCGAGAAAGAGTCGTACAGCGACTTTTAACCTGCGCTGGGCAACTGATTGCGGATCATAACGAGTGACCAAACCGTACACAACAATTCGTCGCTTTCTTTTTGAACTCGTCGTTACAACATCACTGGGTAGAAATTATTAAGAGGTAATAAATTTATTATTTGTTTTGCCTGGGTCATATTCCAATATACTTGAAATTAGAATATTGAAATTATTTTCTCAGTATTGGGAATATATTTCACCTTGATACGAATAGTAATATTTAGAAACGTTCAGAATCTCGAACAGAATCTCTTTTCCCTGAAAATCACATTTTTGAAAACAATTCTATTAAACGCCTCAACCACTCGCGCTGGGCAACTGACTGCGGACCATAACGAGTGACCAAATCGTACACAATTCGTCGCTTTCTTTTTGAACTCGTCGATACGATATCACTAGATAGAAATTATTAAGAAGTAATAATAAATTTATTATTTGTTTTGCCCGGATTATATTCCAATGTACTTGAAATTAGTATATTGAAATTATTTTCCCAGTATTGGGAACGTATTTCACCTTAATACGAATAGTAATACTTAGAAACGTTCAGAATCTCGAACAGAATCTCTTTTCCTAGAAAATCACATTTTTGAAAACAATTCTATTAAACGCCTTAACTATTCGCGCTGGGCAACTGACTGCGGACCATAACGAGTGACCAAACCATAGACAACAATTCGTCGCTTTCTTTTTGAACTCGTCGATACGATATCACTGGATAGAAATTATTAAGAAGTAATAAATTTATTATTTATTTTGTCAATTTTGTTTTACTTGAATATATACTCAAAACTGCGGAAATATTGCAATATTGGAACAAAAAATGCGCGGTCATGCCAGCGCAAGAGGTCAAAAGATATCTTCAATCTTTTACGAGAAATATTTCTTTAGCCTCCCAGAGACGAATTTCGCGAATTTCTACAATCTTCACTCGCGGAAGAAGAAACAAACTCGAGAGCGTGAGAGTTCTTACGCTTCGAAATGAAGCCAAATTGTTGATCAATCGGTGCTACGATGTTGTAAACTGTTCCAAAAATCGACCATCTCTCGTCGATTGAAGAGAATAATTTCGGGAACGGCTCTTCGCCGTCCGTATTCCGTGCGTTCTCGCGTTCTCGAGAACCGAAGCGCTGGAAACGGACGTGGGCAAGTGAGGATTTTCGGATGTTGTCGTCACGAAGCGTATCCGAGTAAGACGAACGAGTTACCGATTCGGGTCGCGTCGCGGTGGACGGTGACGCGCACGGGGCGGGAATTTTAAAATCGCTGCTCTAGCGCGGCCAGAGTGTAAGGGACACGGGTCGCGGAGAGACGACGTAGACAAAAAGCAATTGGGATTTGCATTCGAAGTGAATCACGAGGTTGGAATAAAAGTGGGTTGAAACACGAGCTACGAAAAACGGGGGAAACAGAAACAAGTTCGTTACAAGTAACACGATTGTATAAATGGATATGTGACGCGCGTTTATATTATATGAATAAACGCAAATACTCAATGGATCGTAACGTTGTAATATTAACGAATATTTCGTGTATAAAAATTTCTTGAATCTTTCATGCGTGAAATTTCCTGACGATGAATGTTTAAATACCTTCGTAGAATAAGCTGAACGAGATTTCTCTGTTTTCTTTCGTTCATTTCTGTCTAAATAATCCGGAAGGCGATGAAATAGTTAATCTGACCGATAAATCGAATCGATCAGATAGAGGATGAGAGAAAGAGAGAGAGAGAGAAATTTAAAGCCGATCGACGGCTCTAATGAACCGATAGCCAGCTCTACGATATACTAATCGCGCGAGGATCGCCTTGTATTAATGGAGCAGAGATACGAACCGATAAAATTTACTGTATATCGTAAAATACTTTACGTCCCTTGGTCGAGTCGCTTAAGATCGTACTTGCGGCCGAGTTATCATCGCTATAAATTCGCTCGTGGCAACGAAAGGGAAAGGGACGAAACGTCAACCAGAGGAAACTAACATCTCTCTCTTTCTCTCTCTCTCCGCCCTTCC